GAAAAATATATGTTGAAGAATTGAAATTTATGAGCTTTAAATTTTTCCTGAAATTGTACATTCCTTCTGTCTATATTTGAAGGTTTTACTTCAACTAGAATGTTTAAATGATAATCGAAATTTTATAACTTAACAGAGATGAGAGGGTGCTATCAAAAAGGTTCCATTATTCTTTTTAAAGTACAGAATACTAATAAACATAACCTTTTTTATACTTAGTTTTACAATTATTTGAAGAGTTTTGACGAATAACGCTTATTTTCAAATCTACCTTTAATCCTGTTGGCCCATGAATTAAATACAAGTCAAGATAATCTAGTCCGAGAGCATTCAAGGACTGTCTTAAAGCTGGTTCAACGTCCTTCGGTCTGTGGAAAGTATCCCACAATTTACTAACGATGAAAAGGTCCTCTCTTTTAACAACACCCTCTTTTATTTTCTTCCTAATCCCTTCTCCAACTTCCCTTTCGTTTCCATAAATCCAGGCGCAATCTATATGTCTGTATCCTGCATCAATCGCATCCTTTACAGCTTGTGTCACCTCACCAGGCTTAGACTAGGACAATATTGCAAATTAAGTAGTATAACTCACGAGAACAGTTATAAGATTAAAATGAAGGTTTATGTTAAATATGAGCTCTAAAAACGACCAAACTGTCATTTTTAGTAATTTCAAATCTTTTAATCTTCATTTATACAGGGTGTAATAGAAATAAGTGCAGGAGGTGATAGAGCACCATAAATTAAGTAAATGTTTGTATGCCTGAATGTTCACCGTTTTTGAGAAAAACGTAGTTAAATGTACAAGTAAATTCAATTCCGGCCCTGGTTGATAAATGCGGCCCGCAACGCTGCACTCAAATTGCTGGTAATTTCTAGTATCAGTGTAGTGTTTGTTTTGTATTTTTTTTTTAGATTAAGTGTAATTCAGGGTGTTTATGTTAACAATTGATTTCAAAGAAGACAATTCCCCAAAACAGTAAAGTAGCAATCACATATACGAGGGTGGATTGATAAGTTTCCGGCCTAACCAAGAGATGACGCACTAGGCCTACCTTGAGGTGACATTCTATAGTACCATCCTTGGATAGCTTGTAGCTATAGTTTCAGCCCGATCTCCTTGCTAGTGTAGGTTTGAACAGCACGCTGAACAAGACGCCCTGTGGTTTTCGTAAAAATGGAAAAGCAGGAAAATCGTGCTGTCATCAAATACTTTTATTTGAAGGGGTTAACGCCGAAGGAAATTAAAAAAGAGATGGACTCAACACTGGGGACATCCTCCCCGTCATATTCAACCGTTAAGCAGTGGGTTTCCGAGTTTAAAAAGGGTCGTGTGAGCACCTCTGATGGGCCTCGCTCAGGACGCCCCGTTGAGGTCACAACTCCAGATATGATCGAAAAAATTCATCAAATAGTGCTGGGAGACCGCAGATTGAAAGTGCGTGAGATAGCTGAGACCTGTAAGATGTCATATGAACGTGTGCAACATATTTTGCACCAACATTTGCATATGGAAAAGCTCTGTGCAAGATGGGTGCCGCGTTTGCTAACAGTCGACCAAAAATTGATTCGAAAAAACATTTCTACCGCAAATTTGTCATTGTATAAGCGTAATCCAAGCGAATTTTTGCGTCGATTCGTAACCGTTGACGAAACGTGGGTCCACCACTACACTCCTGAAACCAAAGAACAGTCTAAACAGTGGATTGGACCAGGGGAACCAACTCCAAAGAAGGCAAAAACAATTTTTTCGGCGAACAAGGTTATGGCTACTGTTTTTTGGGATGCAAGAGGTATTATATACATTGATTACCTTGCAAAGGGTAATACTATCACTGGTCAATACTACGCAGACTTATTGCAACGTTTGAGCCACGAGGTGAAAATTAAACGACCTCATCTGGCGAAGAAAAAAATCTTGTTTCATCACGATAACGCACCAGCGCACACGTCAATCGTTGCGACGGCTAAAATCAACGATCTAAAGTTTGAATTGATGCCGCACCCTCCTTACTCTCCAGACCTAGCCCCGAGTGACTATTTTCTGTTCCCTAATCTCAAAAAATGGCTTGGCGGTAAGAGATTTGCGGACAATGAAGAAGTAATCGAAGCTGTAAATGGTTATTTTGAGGAGCTTGACGAATCAGTCTATAGAGATGGCATTAATAGACTGGAACACCGCTATGAGAAATGTATCAGCCTTGGAGGAGATTATGTTGAGAAATAAAAAAAAAAAATTTTTAAAAACCTTGTTTTTCTTGGTCAGGCCGGAAACTTATCAATCCACCCTCGTAGATTACACCTTCCAAAGTTCAGCATTTATTTCTTTTACATCCTGTATAATATGACGCGATGGGAACAGAAGCGGACCTGAACAAAAGCGGAACTGGGATAAATACGGAACCAAAAAATTCTACTTTAAATGTATCTGAAAGTGTGATAAAAGCAGAACTATTATTACCATAAATTTTCACTTTGACACTATATTATGGAAAAGAGTAAAGAAAAAGTTAGGTTAGTATCATAAGGATACGATGAGAAAAGACAACACGAACGAAATGTTCTGGGGAATTTACTGATACTAAACCAACTCTAATCAATTTGAAATCTGGTGTACCCTGCTTTTGTCCATGGTTCACTATAACAGCGGTTTCGGTACATTGTACCATCTTCAGGCAAGATTGCTTTCAAACTTTCAAACTTCCATCAACTCTTGACGAAGCATTTTCAATTTGGTCAATAAAATAAAACAGTTGAGACGTTTCAAAATTTTTATTTTCTTCTTATAGGATATCTTCAAAGACCGTACTGAGTAAAATTTAAAATTGTAGAACATTCATGGATATCAAAATAAAAAATTGAATAAATAAAAGTGACAAATAAATACTGTCAGTTGGAGATATTTTGGGAATCTGTAATAATTAATTTCAGTTTATACGACTTGTTAGTTAAGGTACTGAAATACAGAAACCATTTCACCTACTTTAATAGTAAGTAGTAATTTATGACTTGGCAAAATACAAGTAATTGAAAGAGTCATGCTCCCCTAATGATAACTATGTAAGATAATTAATCCTATTCGGCCCGTGCATCGCGTCGTTGGATTTCCGGTAGAACTTTCAAGTTAAATAAATGCTAACGTTTGCTTTTATTTCGACCTAGAATACAATGTCTATGTTTTTTTCAGTGTGAATGTACAGTATAATTGTTATTATTATTAATCATGCGTAAAACATGTAAAGCAGTTTCTTACCTAAACAATAAATTTTCTTAATTATGCATAATCACTACATAGTATAAAACAAAGTCGCTTTCCCGCTGTCTGTCCCTATGTATGCTTAAATCTTTAAAACTGCGCAACGGATTTTGATGCGGTTTCTTTTAAAAGATAGAGTGATTCAAGAGGAAGGTTTATATGTATAATACATGCATAATATAGTAGGGAAACACTGATAATTTTAGAGGTTTCTAATGTGATGTCGTAAATAAACACATTTTTTGCGCTTACATTGCAAACGCTGGCTGAACCCTNCTTTTATTTCGACCTAGAATACAATGTCTATGTTTTTTTCAGTGTGAATGTACAGTATAATTGTTATTATTATTAATCAAGCGTAAAACATGTAAAGCAATTTCTTACCTAAACAATAAATTATCTTAATTATGCATAATTACGTATAAAGAACAGCGTATCTCAAATCTGCTTTCAATTTTTCAGTATCTTTACGCATTAATATTGTTGGTGATGGCATTAAATATTGACCAAAGCCTATAAGTAAATGTTCTTTCATTTCGTAAAGTGATCTAGATACTGTTCTCTATTACATATATAATAAATTACAATTGTTTAGTAAGTTTTAAGACTTAAAACTCTCAACCGAAGTTAGCAGCAAGTAAATTACCACAATAAGTGAAAAATGAAAACGTATTTCTCTAAAATTAGAACATTCCACATCCTTAACTATTTGTAAATACTAGTCTAATCAAAACCTACCATTACTTTTCTTAATTCCTATTTCTGCTTTTAATATGTCTCTAGCTAGGTCTTTATGTCTGAGAAGATGTCCTACAAACCTATTTCGCCTATTTCTTATTAATTTTCATAGCACCCTCTCCTAATTTTTCTAATAGCTCCTCATTTCTAACCTTCTCCATCCACTGTATCCTCATCAGTAGCCTATAATACCACATTTTGAAGGATTACAGCTTTTTTTCCACAGCGCCTAGTGTCCACATTTCGCACCCGTACCTATCGTACAGAGCCGTACTCAGTTTAGAAAATTGAAATTCCAGAGCGCCGTGCTTCTTGCTGGCAATACGAAACATTAGTCCACACTCCATAGCGTTCGGTAACGTAAAAGAGGTGCAAGAACTGTGAAACTGCAGCACGATATAAGAATATAGTCCGCAAACGAAAAAAAAAAATTTTTATCTCTATATGGCTCATATAAAAAGAAATATAACCGTTAACTTAAGATAATATGCAGATAATGTATATGGTAGGGCTAGCACTCCATTCTATTACTGCAAAGGATGGTATTAGGAAACCATATACCTACTATCTGACGTGAAAATTTATTTTCCGCACAGGTGTGAAACCCCCATGCGGCGGGGCCCGTAGCATCTGCTAACTCTTGATACGCAGGCAGTCCGGCATTGCGCGCATGATTAAGTGTAAGAGCCTTTTCACAAGGGAGACTAGTGCCGCCACTGTGGCGCACCCTATCGTGATCATAAGTCAGGACGGAAGGAGTAATAAAGTTATAAAGCAGAGGATGCGAAGATTAGCTCAGTATAGGAAAGATTGGAGGTGCGTGTCCAACCAGTTTAAGGACTGACGACCTTATGATAATGATGATGACTTATTTTATTTAATTCTTTTATTGCTGTATTCCTCGCCACTGTAATCTTAGATTGCCGAACGATTTTGCTATGAAATCTTTTGTATTTATGGTATTTATTTTGTCAGCTTGACCAACTTGCTGCCACTACTTTGGTAGCAACTGTATTTAAAACAGTGCTTTTCTACATTCTGACGTTAGAAGCGCTTCTATTTTAGGAGTGCATTCGTAGCACAACTAACATTCGATTCGCCACCATTTTAGTAGTCCGTGTGAAAAGACTTTAAAGGTGAGACATTGTTGTCGATAAGCCGTATAACCCGTTCAATAACAGCCACTTTGATTCTGGCTATACCTACGTGTATTACTTGCTTTATTTCTCACGCAAAAGTAGTTCCTTAATTCGGGTGCAAAAAATAAACTTAAAAAGGGGCTGTAAAATCTAAAAACCATATCTCCTTAATAATACACAACTTTAAAGTAATTTCTAGTTTGCTCTACTACTTACTTTCCATGTTCCTAGTCCAAGCACAGGCATTTCGATTCCATTATTCAATTTTATTTTCGGAACTTGAACAGAAGCTGCTGTTCCGGTAAACATTATTACATTAAATGAAAAGAAAAACAAAAATAGCTGCATCCAATTTGTCATCTTGTTTCTGTTAACAAATTCAGAAAAAAAATTGTAAAATCCCTTCACATCCAATTCAATGTACCTAGTACATACCTACACGTCATTTTCCGGTTATTTAAAACAGGACTTCCTATTCAGACGATATTCTGAAAATTCTACAGGGCATTATTTTAAAGTTTTCGATTTTAAAAAATGTATATCCGTTACCTTTAAATACGCGCTGTTTGTTATTAAACAACACAAAGTAGGTATACACTTTAGAAACTAGGTAACTCTGCTTAACTGTTACGTTGACTGACACACATAAAGTCACTTTCAAGAAACTCGTCGTCTATAACTGATCATATGAAGGTTATTGCTACAAGTATAAGCACTTGCATGAGCAAAGTGTACCCTTCAAATGCCAAAACATCATTTTCTCTTACATAAAAGATTGTCCCAAACAAAACAAATACTAACTGGTAGACATTAAAGAGTTTTTTGTACAAATACATATAGGCTGTTAAAATAAAACAGAATGTACCAATGTAATGGTAAAGCTTCTACTTAATAAAATTACCCACGGCTTAAGTGGAACACCCGAAATTCTGTTTCTATTTTATTGTATTAAACGTTGCGCGAAGTTTATAACTCACTTGTTGATACTAAGCATTTTTTTATTATTGCAAGGTGTGATTGCACCCTAAGCACCCTAAGATGCGTTAGGCCGTCTGTGATCGCCACTGAAAGGGACCACACGCTGAGGACTTATATTGTATGTAATTCAAATGATATTTAAGCAAATACATCGACAGTAGTGGCTTGTCCAGGCCACAAGATACTGTGGGAGCTTTCATTTTTTTGTTAATGTTTGAGTGATGGTGGGTAGTCCCTCTGGACTACACCGACAGGTAAGGCAGAAGGCGAAAGGCCCTTATTGATCCACCTTTTTTTGATGGAATCCCATCTTGGTAAAATTGGCAATAGTTTTATGATTTTGACACCATATTGCATACATGTTGTACTCATCGACTTGAATTTTGAATTCAGAATCTTCATTACAGATATTTTATGTGAAGAATGAAATTCATTTACTTATAGATTGAATTGATCTGTACCGGCATCCAGCCCAGTTCTGTATTTGTTTTTAGCGTAAGTGTAATAGAGCAAGATCTCAAAAACGTCAAATTTATTTTCTGAGTATCAAAACGGGTGGGAAAGAGTAATGTTGGTATGTATTTTGAACGTATGCATACCTGACGACAAATATGATGATACCAGGTGCTAAATGTACGCAAAAACATTACTCACTTTTCATAAAGCCTGAGTGCTGATTTTTACATAATGTTTCACAGAATATTGTAAAAACTTAATAATCAACACCGCCAGACACATTCGGTCGCCGGTAACTTCTGCCAGACGCTTCAAAGTTCGCAAATGATTTTTTTTTTTTTTTTTATGTTTTCGTGGAAGAGGGGAAATCTTCAAAAGACACCCTGCCGTCCGAACGACAGGGTAGTGTTGGATTCACTCTGAAGGAGCGCCTACCAACTAAAACCCCTCTACCTCAGGCCGTTTTAGGACCAGTGTAGTTGGTCCTCTTCAGCCATATGTGTAGTTCTGTTATGAGGTTTGTGACTTTTTGTGTGTGTTACTTGTGTGTGTGTTTGTGTTTAGTTGGGTTGGTTTCGTGGTTATCTGATGGAGTTGGGTAGGGAATTAAGGTGATCGATGAAATCATCGGGGAGATCTGGGGTAATGGACAGGAGTCGGGCGGGAGGGAAAGTGACTTTTTGTTTGGGTTTGGTGGTTATTCTGCGGGGAGGTTGTGTAAGTGTCCGTGTGGTGATGGGGTTATTTGTTTGTATGGCCCTTTTCACAAATTTAGTTTGTAGTGTGACGATACGGTCTGTGATGGGTGGGATATCTACGATGTTGTACAGGTCTTGTGAAGGGAAGAACCTTCCTAGTCTGGCGATTTTCCTTAGGATTCCTCTTTCGGTGGCGAGGAGGACTTCTAATTGACTGTCGGATATGTTTGTTAATGAGACTGCTCGGTAA